AGCAGTTTGTTATGCCTGTCCGTGTACCTTGCGAGACCCGCTGTGGAATCACAGTTCGAAACAACATGTTTGTTTGTTTGTTTGGCGATGATTGTATAGTGGACATAAAAATGTTGTTGACTTACCCCATTAATATAAGTTTGCATTAGTGGGAAGTTGTTGTATTAAATATTTTCTAGTAAACTTATGGAGCACTCCCGGTAATCCTTTGACGATCTTTGACCAACGCGACGTTTGTGATGGAGAAATGTGTTCATTTCTTGCTTTTATTAACAAACCTTGGCATTGGAGATTAAACACATGGTCGAGGTTGGATGCAATTCTTGTCTCTTCCAGCAATTTGAGTGACTGTTTCACCGAACCTGACTCCGCCAGCATCCTATCAACTTTTTCGAAATTAGCTGATATTTCGCGCCACAGACAAACAGTTTCATCGACACTGCTTGACTTTAAATAATTTCTGATTTTGACTTTTGTCTTTTCCAACGTGTCTTTCAATGAGATGATATTGTGGTCACAATAATAATAATAACAATAAAACAATAACAATAATAATAATAATAATCTAATAATAATAATAAATAATGTAACAACTACAGCAAGCCGTGAGATGGCAGAAGGCGGCAATCATCCATGCGATTATACTTAGGTTAAAAATGACGACCTATCACGTGATCATTGCCTGGTGGTTGTACTCTGTGTATCAAAATGGGTATGCCGGTACCAGGGTATCATAAGGCTCGTATCGGTACAGGGCAGCAAGTGAACGTGTGGAGGTCTTAATTTATGTGTGTGGGAGTTGTGTACGTTTGTGAGTTTGTTAACATGTGCGTTGTTGGTTGTGTGTGTTATGTGTGTTTGTGTGTGTTTGTGTATGTGTGTGTGTGTGTGTGTGTGTGTTGAGGTGTGTATGTGAAGGTTTGTATGTTTGTGTGTTGTAGGTTATGTGCTTTAAATATAGCATAGACAGCTATATGAAAGTATGCTAGAATTTGTAAGTTCAAACCATGTGATGTGTTATTTGTGTGTGTGTTTGTGTGTGTGTGGAAATGTGAGTGTGTGGAGGTGTTATGTGTTAATGTACATAAAGTCACGTATATATTTTTCACATGATTTTCCTTCATCACGTACCCATTCCCTTCAATATGAAGAATGTAGACAAGCTCAGCATATTCTACAATTTTAATTATTCATTCCTCTTACAAGTTGTCTAGTTGTGAAATTATTCAAACACCAACATTAAACATAACAGAAAATAATTACTCATAACATACCGGTCAAAAATTCACACCATGCTTGCGTGACAAACGCCTGCGACGCTCGTGAGTTTGGCATATTATAATTTCAGTTATTTCTTCGTAGTATCGTTGCATTTTATGCATGTGGTAAGAAGAAGGCGCTAAACAAACATTTCCGACGAATGAACATTGAGCGTCATGATCTTAAAGAGAAAGTCCCAGTTACTTGTTGTCGACGTCAAATGATTCACAATTATGCATAACTAGGCCATTCATTAGCGCCGATGTCGTTTTATAACAGTTTACTGCCATTCGCATTGTACGCCTTGTGCTGTTCAAAATTTAATGTTAGTCGGTTATCAAAAAATAAACAGTTTCTAGAAAAACTTACATCAAATGATTAATATCTTCTTAAGACTTGTTTTGTAATTGGGAAATGATTTGCTAAAAGATCGATCTTCAGATGCCAGTTCATTAAGAAATGATTTCTGTTTGAATTGCTCAAAAAATAAAATGGCAAACATCAAGTAGCCTCAGAAGAAACACAACACTCCTTTTAAACAAGTATGGCATTCACATTGGCACGTTCGTTTTTGCCGTCACTTAAGCTGAAATGAAGAAGTAAATTCCATCAGCGAAAGACCAAGGAGCGTTCATGTTCATGCGTGCTCTCCAGTCATTCCCCTCCGTTTTGAAATTCGCGAATCAAATTAATTTGACTTTATTGTCATCAATAAATGGCAAATAATTTGTCGCTTAAGTATTCCAGTTATTTGTTCAGTTGGAAGTCAAAATTTGAGAAATATATTTGAATCTCTCAACTGAGATAAAATATGTGTTTAATTAATGGAATTTCTTAAAAAATAAAAATTATGAAATTTTTTTTCTACATCATTAAAATAGGTACAGCAAATAAGTAATTTAAATGCAATTAAAACATTTACTGTTTAAAATGCTTCATATTCAAGGACTGAACAATTCAATTCATAAGTACAAAAAAACTGAACTATTATCAATTCATTTGAATCATTTGCAAGCTCAAATTGAAAAATTTATATTTTTATATTTAAACCACGGAAAATGATATTTTAAAAGTGGGCATAAAATCGTAAAAAATAATTTCGTTTGCGTGTTCTTTTCATTTATATTCGTTGAATTGACATCCTGTAAGTAATGTAAGTACATTTTTTTATTTTATTTTTTAATCACCGTTCAACACGCTGACACGTGCGATTTCAACGCTTAATGACCAAACATCTATAATTCCCCAGAGAATTCTTTCCATATATCATCATTTCGTGCAACTGCGTTTGACGTAGAAGTCAACAACTCAGGCGTGGCTTTCAAATTTTTCCACATTTAGAAGTCATCGCTCGTCAGTGTCTACATGTTTGAACGGATCAATGTCATCAATGCCATGTCATCAATTCCACACGTGCGTACAAAACACACACAGACAACAGAGGAGTGTGCAAACAAAGAAAGAAAAAGAAAAAAAAGTTGAAGACAGGGACTCCTGAAAACTGATACATCGGCCAGCAAACACAATAAAACACCACGGCCAATTTCATGTTTACCCGAGATGCATTTGCTCGCCTTACAAAAAGACGTTTTTACGTATTCGCACATGTTACGTACATTTGTATGTGTTTGAAGATGTATGTGTTGTGTGTTTGAAAATATATCTTCTGTGTGTGTGTGTGTGTGTGTGTGCGTGTGTGTGTGTGTGTGTGTGTGTGTGTGTGTGTGTGTGTGTGTGTGTGTGTGTGTGTGAATAAATAAATATACACGTAAATGTAAAATTGTGTGTGTGTTTGGGAATATATATGGCTGCTATGTAATTGTGAATACGTCACATTCGTGTGTATGTTTACATATTTACATATTTATATTATTTATGACGTCAATAAGAAATTGTAACTAAAAAAAGAAAGCAATAAAAAAATAGGATAGATATTTGTTCTAAAATAGTATCAACTGTCAGTTGTACAAAAACTACAAGTTGCACACGCGGCACTTGTTGTCGTTGTGCACTTCTTCTCTGGTTTAAGCAACAAAATAATTTAAACTTCTAGAATAGTTAATTAAAAAGAACAAAATTAAAAAAATTTTTTTATTCAATTATGGAAATGAACGATGAGCCAGCCACGCCACGTGTCTATGATGAACCAACGTGAAGAGTCAGTTGAACACACCTGGCTCTGCACTGCAGACAGTCACCGTCTGGTTGGCTGGTTGGTGTGTGTGTGCATGTGCATTCTGCTTGTTCATCTTCACGTACATGTATCAACGCGTACAATCGTACATGCTGTATGAAAGTGTACGACATCTGCCGGCCTGCACTCGCTAGGAGTGATTCGCAATGTAAATGAGATACATGTAAATGTGTTTGTTATTTGTATGCGAATGTCTGTAATCTGTGTTTAGTTGTGTGGTTAATAATTCATCAGCCACACCCAAGCAAAACCACACGCGCACATATCATCAACATTGATGTAAATGTTACGTGTCAATTGCGCCTTTGTTGACATATTGAATCAATGTTTGATCTAATGAACGACGTAATTTGATGATACGATGGAAGAATGAATGCTTAGAAAGATGAATGGACAAAGAAATGGAGGAATTGAAAAAGAAATAAAAGGATAGAAGGATGGAAAGATTGATGGATGAATGATGATATTTTCAATTTTGGGTGGGATGTTGATACCAGATCCTGACAAAATAATGATGAGCATGTTGTCATAATTTAAGAAAAATAGCTTCTATATAAAAGACTCATACAGATGTATTATATGAGATGATTGTAACAACAACTTCCTTCAACCGATTACTTTAATTAATTAAAGCATCTTGCTAAATAATTAATTAGCTAATTAATTCTATTCAAGCCACCTGATCAAGTTTTAATCTTTCAAATTACAGTTCGCGAAACGCACAACACTCAGATAAACACTCACACTGTGTGTATATACATACATGTATATATACATTCTTCTTTCAACATTCATATGTATGTATGTATGTATGTATGTATGTGTGTGTGCCCCAAGGATCGATACTGGGGCCGTTGTTGTTTATTTTATTTGTCAACGACATTTTTGAGGTGTCCCATCATTGCATTTCAATTCTTTTTGCGGATGACACCAATGTATTTTTTACTGATAAGGATCCAGTAGTTTTATTTAATTCAATGAACGAAGAACTTAAAAAATATAATAAATACTTCAAATTAAATAATATGGTATTGAACTTACATAAATGATGTTATATAATCTTTGGTCCTAAAATTAGGACTAACAATAAACTTTTTGACAACTATTCCATAAAAATTGGCGACACCACATTACCACGCGTTTATTCAACTAAATTCTTAGGAATCACAATTCAAAGTGATTTGAATTGGAATCATCACATATTATTTATATTAAATAAATTATATTAAGTTATAGGCATTGTTTATAAGGCCCGTGACAAGTTGGATTGTGGTACTAAACTTATGCTGTATTATTCTTTTTTTTACCCATACCTTATTTACGGCAACATATTTTGGGGCTCAACATTTAAGTTTTGGATTAATAAGGTATTTATTGCACAGAAGTATTTCGTGCGCATATGTTTTGGCCTAAGTAAATATGATCACACCAGTTATGTATTTGCTAAAAATAAAATTCTTACAATAGAAGAAATTAATAAATATATAACTTTAATTTTTTTGTTCAAAGTAATCAACTATGACAATTATCAGTTTCTCTACTCTTTTCAGTTTACAAGTTCTGCGACTAGGCAACACGGCTTATTAAAAATACCAAAAAGTAGAACGGTCACAAATGATCGTCTTTGTATGGTTAGAGGTGCCAAATTGTGGAATGAACTAGCTATTAACGCGTATAAATCGATGTCAATTGTCAACTTTAAACACGTTGTGAAATCTAAAATATTAAATTGTTATCTTTATTTTTGATGCGATAATAGGTAACTCTAATTTTATTCGATTTTCGTTTTAAATTAAAACTGTTCTGAATTATATTATCAATTTATTGTTATTTTGTTTTTGAACATTTCTGTCCGTTTTATGTTACTAAAATGATATAAATTAATTGCACCATTTAGTTAAGGTAGTCTACACAAGTTTTTCTTTTTTGATTACCTGTTTTGACAAAATAAATTGAAAAAAAAAAATGTGCGAGCCCTTGGTTAAAAACAATAGCCATAAAAACTATCATTTCGCCCCTGCTCAACAGACAATATTAGTGTACAGGGTCTCGCACAGAAGGGCACCTAGCAATGTTCTCTAAAATACAAAATGAATTAAACTTTTGCAACAACAACGATATATTTTGCTTTATATAAATTTTACTTTATATTAAACTTTATATAAACGTATGTATGTATGTATGTATGTATGTATGAACCCATAATTGATTAGAACTATAGGGAAGTAATAATCATATCCGGTTTCAGCTTTAATCTATGTTAAACGCTTCGCACAGACAGGTATTTTAACGCTCCATCCAAAATACAGAAAGAATTATATTTTTGAAGTAAAATAGAAAAGGATTGCTTTGCATAACTCTTATCTAAAGGGTCACCCGATACTTCTACAATCCTGCTACAGAGTTCATTCAGAAAACTCTGAGTCTGAGCATCGATTGGACCAAAGGTCTCAATGCAGACTGGCTGAAAAATTTTGCTTTCTGCAAGAGCCGCATATTTTGAATTTTTAAAGTCTGCGGCTCTTAAGGCAGCGGCACCCGCCTCCTGTGAGGTAAGATTAATGTACTTTTCAGCCATGGTGTGAGGGAACGTAACATCCCAAGCAAGGGAACGTCCCTGCGCCCATGGTGAAATAGTATATCCATCGGGCCTGAGGCTACCTTCCTCCATAAGACCCGTGGGTTCCTTAATTGTGGGTATGTTTGCCCTCTGAAAGCACCTGACCAAAAAGTCGTTCATGGCCGAATGTCGAGCCTGTCTACCAGGGCCCAATTCTAATTGATTCATTAGACGTTGAATCTCAATTCACAAATGTGCCTGCCTAAGAAACAATAGACATAATTTTAGAAAGAACTTACAACTCCGAGGTAACAAGTATAAAATTTCATAGTAAACATCAACAAAACTTCATGAAATTTGTACGATGGAAGCAACATTTTTTACCCCAGACAATAAGCTATGCAAATTTTCGGATTTGCAATGGGTTCTCCACTAGGCGTTTTGTTTGCAAACTTCTACATGGGCCATGTAGAAGAAAATCTATTCACCAAAACCTAAAATTCAAACCACTGCATATGGTCGTTATGTAGATGATATCTTCGTCATTTACAACAATGAGGAAACCATTGACCAACTTCTGGTAAAGTTCAATAAATCTAACAAATGAAACAAGATGGTAGAAACCGGTCCACTGGAACCAATAATAAAACAATACATTATAAAAACTATGTTTGCGTCATATAAAACGGATGAAAGAATATTAAGAAACATAGTCATGAAGAACATCAAGGCAATCAATTGTAATGACAAATCACAACCTAGAATTTACCATGCCAACAATAGAACTTCTTCTTTCCTTGTTCTTAAAATAAAATGTTAAAAGAAACAACGGTCAATAATGAAAAGAAGTCACTCTTTAAACATCCCATTGGTGAGTGCGGACACCGAATTTCAGAATATATCACTACAATGACACGAAGATTAACTATTCATACACAAAGAGATCCAATAAAAAATCGTTCAATTGATAATCACGAAACATCAATTACTAGAGAGATACTTAACAATAACACAAGGATACTGTATCGCAATAGGATAACTTTTCAACTTGAAATTACAGAAGCACTTTACATAAACCAAAAAAACCCTACAATAAATATACAACAGAAAGCAGTAACTTTACTACCGACAAAGGAACTATTAATAAAGAGAAATAATGGATCAACGCAGTGAAATATAAAATCAAAAAAAGCATATTAAATAATGCTTTCGAACAGGATGAAAAAATCATGTAAAGAATCATAAAAAAATAACGTTCAAGAAACATACGAAACCTATGTAATGGGTCCTGTTGTCTGGAACGGTTTGCCTAGGGCTTTTAGTGAGTCTGTGTTGTCTGTTATTTATGGCTTATGGGTCAGATGGGTAACTGTTTTTGGATGGGTCAGAACCTTTGACCCACTGACTCATCAAAAAACGATTTTTTTTTCATGTTTTAAGTAAATTAGACAATTTCTCAAGTCATGAAACTGTTGTAAATTAATAGTTAATTTTTTTTAGTGAATGTGAATTTTGAATTGACTGTCATCAATGTCTTTATAATTTGTTGTTGTAATCATTGGGATTTTTTTGGCTGTGTGCAGCTTACGGTTGCTAATAAAAATGATGTGAAAACTAACATGATCAGTCATTTGTATTTTTATACTTTACAAGTATGAAATGGGTTATGAGTCAAACATTGGTGGGTCACTTGGCTCATAGGTCAAAACTGTTGACCCAAGGTCAACTCTGCTCGTGTTAATGTTTTTCCATTCATTGCACTGCCTTATTAAAGAACCACACAATGATTTCGGTAAATCTTTAGCGCCTCTGAGATCTTTTAAAAGGTGCGTACAAACACATCCTTAATATATATATATTTGTATTTTGTATTTGTATTTGATGACTTGTATAACGCCCCTCCAGAATAACATCAGAAGCGCTAGCATCGCTGTAGATTGTTAAATAGATGATTTTTTAAACGTTTTTTAAACATCCATCGATCCATGCCGCTGAATCGTTTCAGATCCGTTGGCAGAGCATTCCAAATTTGAGCTGACGACACCGAAAATCTTCTTTTTCCAAAGCGTGATGATTTGTGCTTTGGGATCACGAGATCTCCATTATCAGAAGATTTTAATCTATTTATGTTTGTAACCTCGGATACTGGTTGGAGCTGCTCTCTCAAATAACATGGAGCCTCGCCGGCCAGTGAATCTCTGACTAGGAGAGCGAATTTAAACAAAACTCTTTCCGGCATACGAAGCCAGTGCAACTCATCTCTGATGTAAGCTGATATCTACTCGAACTTCGTGAATCCTGCAATCAGTCTTGCAGCAGTATTAAGCATTGATTGCATGTCATTCTGAAGGAAAACTTTTATACCGTACATTATTGCATTACAGTAATTAATTCTGCTGCAAATTAAACTACAAACAAGTGCCTTTGTTGACTCAACAGTCAAATATTGTCTGATTGACCTGATTTTATGATTTTACATTTATATATATATTATTGTCTCTTTAATTGAAAAATATGTCCACATGTTATCAGCAAATTAAACAATTTTATATTTTCAATATTTTCAATCCGAAAAAATCAAAAGTTGTTATTTTGGTTGTTATGATTACATGCATAAAATATTTTTTTTATTATAACAAAAACTACAAGGTGCGTAATTGGCTTTTTAGGCAATGTTCTTGAGGAAGTAAGTAAATGCAGGCAACTCAATAAATTTTGAAAATCATAAGCACGTTGAGAGCCGCTGAGCAGATGACAAACAAGGAAGAAAAACCGATTGCAGAACCACTTGGTTCACTGCTCCCATCCTTTTCTATACGTTTCCCCTCATTTTTCTGGGCAGTCAAAACTGAAATATTGTCAGCGTTACTTGGTTCACTGCTCCCGTCCTTTTCTAAATTTTTTTCTTCATTCTTCTGGGCAGTCAAAACTGGAATAATGTCAGCGTTATTTGGTTCACTGCTCCCACTCTTTTCTAAATTTTTTTCTTCATTCTGCGAGGAAGTCAAAACTGGATTATTGTCAGCGTTACTTGGTTCACTGCCCCTATTTTTTTCTAAATTTTTCCCCTCATACTGCGAGGCATTCAAATCTGGATTATTGTCAGGAACTGGCCTATCACCATCGCCAGAAAATGGTTTTTTTGTTGTGTCATCCTGCTCACTAGTATTTGGCTTGGGGGTATCTTGTTTTGGGAAAATATTTGGATTAATACCAAACTCGTAGGCGCCTAACAAATGCTTGCATAATAAATTCTTATTTACAAAATTCGAAAGGGAGAAGGACTTTTCATCGTCCCCTACAGTTTCATAACTTTCTATTAAGAAATCTATTTGTATTCCGTCAATACCTTGTTTGAAAAGATAGACTTGATATGATGCATTTTTTTCTTCTGGTTTCATGAACGCTGCAATGAATAAAAATTTTATTTATAATAATTGTTCCCACTTTATATGATATTTAATAATTGGGCTGTATTTTATATAAACTTGTAGGTCAGTTTTAACATAACACATATAAGATATAATGCGTAAAAAATTGAAAAAAAAAATCCAAATATGTTTAGAAAAATTTCAGGAAATTAAAAAAACGGTTACAGCTTAAAAAAGTTGATATAATAAATTGATCGTGTAAAATAATGTACATAAAACTAAAATACTTAAAAGATTTAACTTACGAGTCATATCATAAATCCCAGGGTTGACTCCCTTTTTCAAATCCAAACCCTATAATTTATAGAGATGCATGTAAAATATCATGAAAGAAAGTAAATTAATATGAAACGAGTAAAAAAACTAAATTAAATTATACATCAAAGTCTTACTGATATATCGGTCTTTAACCACACCAGCGAAACATATCTATCTAATCTCTTCCTTTCGTCAGCCTCAGGTTCATTATGCTCTTCAGGACCGACCATCATAAGGACATGTTTGTCACCGGGAGTCTGAATTTTTATTTAAAATTATTCGCTTCACTGTAGATGTAGATTTCATAATTAAATTACAGTTAGTTTAGAAATATCCCAAAAATGTTAGCGCTTTTTGTATTTGCAAATTTAATTTTTCAAATGATCCAAAAAATATATAAATTACAAAATTTAATTAATTTGCATCTTACAAGATCGTTTGCGCCGCTGCTGACGGACACTTCATTTAATTTCTCCAGCTGTTCATCAGTTATCGCTACTCCACATTTTCCCGTAAAGCCTGTCCCAGTAAGAACCAATGCTTTCAATGTACCATCATTAATAGCCTGGCATAACTGGCCGTCGGGAGGAATCTTATCGCAACTTTTCACCAAATCGACGACTGCAACACTGGCGATGGTTAAAAAGAGCATTGGAGTGAATGGCGAAAAAGGCAACATCTTTATTCTTCCGTGAAAAAAACTCAATCAACTAACAAACGAATTCCAAATCGAACGTTTTTAATGTGTTTTATGATGATATTGGATAGATTACATTGAAATAAATAATACGTCTGCTTAGATTTAACATTTGAAAATGAATTTGCATATCATGCAAATAAGATAGCGTTTTGTCGATAGTTAAACGTGATGATCTAACGATCGAATCACTGACATAATATAATGCAATACTATACAACAAAATACAATCCAAAGCCACTTAATGCTAAAAAATACAAAACTGTCATATATGTTTATCTCTGTGGGCCAATATTTATATGTGTCTTTGAACATTAATATCTTTGGACGCTTATATACATTAACGTTGTTTTGTACGAGTTAACTTACGTACCGCTCTTGGTTTAATGTCGTTGCTTGATTGGCAGAACTTTACATTAGTGCCTCAATGCAAACGAAATTGGAGATAATAAGTGGAAGTGAGAGTAGGTTAAAGCGTAAATATGTCTAAAAGTGAATTGATATTAAGACTATTAATTATTAGAGTTATAAAATTATTTATGATTTAAAGTGAAATACTGAAAATAATTTGTAAATATAGTAAAATAAAATATCTTTTTAACAGTCGTCAATTATTTAATAACTTTGTAGCGTTAAAATCGTAATTTTTGTATGCTTTTATAGAGAAAGTTTTTACTTACATTGTAGGCATTAAAGTGAACTCACATGCTTGCATGGTTATGTGCAGTTGACATTAAAATAAACTTCCATGCATTTATTTGCACGAATTTTAACATATGAAACTTAACATGTAGGCATTAAAATAAACTTCCATGCCTTTATTTGCACGTATTTTAACATGTATATTAGTACTGTTAATTATTATTAGATTTATAAAAATATTGATGATTTGAAATGAAATACTGAAAATAAGTTTTAAAAATATAAAATTAAAACATATTTTTAATGCAGTTATTTTAAAGCGTTTTAGTATGTAAATTAACTAGTAGGTATTGAAATAAAGTTCCGTGCATTTTTTGCAAGCATTTAAAAACACAATTCACCGCGTAGGCATTAATGTATACTTCCATGCATCGTGACGCGTGGGCACTAAAATTAAATGACAATATTTGAATAAAAACGTTTAGGTAGAAAGTTCTTATTTTATTATATGCTTCCACGATGTTTAAAATTATATTTTTTCGAGCCATGCTTAGCAAGTAGACTTAGTTCAGAAGAGTTTTACAATTTTATCATATATTCTATTTTAAATAAGCCAATCAATTTTGAAAAGTTATGTCCTAACATTACATTTTTGAAATAAAAAATTCTAATTTATTTTATATATTTATCTAAAACAATAATTAATAAAAAAAAAGTTAAACATAAAGAACAATTTGTTTATTTAGCGTTATTAATATAAATTCACTCTAATTCATTTATTTAGCGTTATTAACATAAATTTACTTTAACATTTAACGTAGTTTACGTAGTATTCAATGCCCTCCATTTACATCACTGTCTCGATTTTTTGTTTGCATTGAGGCACTAATGCAAAGTTTTGCCCAAGAATTAATTACGACGCAAGTTAATTACAAGAATTAACAAAAAATACGCTGCAAAAATAAAAGAAAATGATGACAGGGTTTCAACAACATCCGGCACTGAAGTTCGTTGGCAGTAACGTGGCAGAAGGATGAAAGATATGGCTAAATCTAAAAAAAATTTGACCTATTTATCCTTGCTTCTCGTTCGGACCAACTGCCAGAAAAAGTTCAAGCATCGATGTTACTGAGTGCAATTGGTGACGAAGGAATTGCATCTTTAATTCATTTTTCAATTTGATTCTAGTAAGATTAGAGTCAATGGCAAAATAAAATATCTAAAATTTTATATCATTTGTACAGCAATGCACCAACGTTGATAGGACTGCCAACATGCAGCAAATTAAAAATTTTGTGCCGAATTGATGGTGTAAACTGTCCTGCTAAAAAAAGAACCTGTGCACAGATACTTGAGAAATTTGCCAATGTATTTAAAGGTCTTCGTTATTTACAAAAAGAGTACTACATCACAGTTGATCCATCAATACAACCAGTGATTCATCCACCAAGACGAGTACCACTGGCATTACAGCCAAAACTAAAGCAAAAATTAGGCAATCTGGTAAAAAGTGGAATAATAGAAAAAAACGAGCCAACAGATTGAATAAACAGTTTATTGTCGAAAAAAATAGATCATTAAGATTATGCCTTGATTCTAGAAATCTAAATAAAGCGAAGGTTTCCAGGGTCAAATACTTGGGTCATAGAATATCAGAGAAAGGTATAGCTTCAGATGAAGGCAAAGTCAAAGCTATCCTTGCCAACACCATGATAAATAGTCTCACACATTTCTAAGTTTATTCCACAATTCTCTACAGTTGCGGAACCATTGCAACAATTGCTGAAACAAAATGTTGACTGGATATGGAACAACCAACATAGTAAAGCCTAGACAACAACAACTAAAGAAGTTTTATGATCGCAAGTAAAAACCTTTTCCAGGTTTAGAGGGAGATGCGGTCTACCTATGAATCACAATGGAACAAAGAAGCGTGATATTGTTCGCTTTAAACATCAAGCTCCAAGATCATATATTATTGACACAGAAGATGATTCATCATATAGATGGAACCGCAGAGATCTCATACACCCCAGAGAAGATCCACCTGTGTGTACACCATCAGTAGACGACAACACAGATTGTTTTGTACAACTTAACTTACCACTCTTGATTTAATGTCGTTGCTTAATTATTAATAAAAGTTTTAAATAATGAATATTTACAAAACATTACAAAAACCACACAATACCATACAACACAATACATTACTAAACAAACATAAAAAAACATCACGTTATTGATTTGAGTTTGAATTGGAAAATTGTTGTTTAGGAAAGTCACAGAATTTTCAGCGTGTCTTAATTTTCTATTTAATTTTTCAATCTTTTTTACGATGAGTTTCAAATGGCTATTAAATTTATTTAACTCATGCACAAAATTATTTTGCATGTTTGATACATAAAAGCTTTTTTCGGAAATTCCATTATCAATGTTAATTTTCGTGTTGTTTATGTCCTTATATAAGTTACTGTTACTTTGTTCCTACATTAATAGAGTTTTTACAAGTTCTTTGTATCTCTTTGTGTGTCTTCTCAGGAAAGTCGATTACTAATTTTATGGGATGGTTGGATGCCAGTGGCCCTTACTTTAATATTTATAATGGTATGTCTTTGTTCAATCAAAGGATATTTTGCAATTCGTAGTTCTTGCTTGTTATTATTATAATGAAGAACTTCAATATTGTTGTTAAGAATGTCTCTAGTTAGTTTTGTTTTGTGTTTGTCTTTCAGGTGGTTCTTGATAGCTCCAGATTGAAAGTGCATAGTAAGTCTTCACCGACACCAAACTATTCAGGAGGCCTACTATGCACGTTCAATCTGGTGCTCCTTTTTTGTTCTATCATGCTTAAATGTTCTATCATGTTTAAAATAAATGTGTGTGTGTGTGCGTGCGTGCGTATGTACAAATGAGTGCGTGTATGAGTGTACGTGCATAGCATGCGTGCAGGTTAATGGCTCAGAGGTGGACATGGGTCCATTTTTACTGACCCAACCCAACCCATCACTTAACTCAACCCTTCCCAACCCAACCCGCCTGAAAATGCAACTTTTCAACCCAACCCGACCCGACCCAACCCACGACCCATCTGCACGAGTCGCAATTTTACCAAACAGGCAAATTTTTACAAATGATATTTAAAAAGCAGAACTCAAAAATACAAGATCATATGTGTAATAAAACACACTGGTGAAGTAATTACACTGCAAGTGTAATAAAATAACATGAAAATTAATTAAAACTTAAATGTTACTAATATTTTCCCACAACAACGTCAGAAACATCAAACTTTCCATATTTGGCACCCAACTCAACACAGCTCTGCATCAAATTGAGAAGCCCTTTATTTTCAACAGATTTGAATGAGTGGTAACCATCAACACAGAAAAAGATCTGTCTATGCTTCAACATCATTAATTCTTGAGGAGACAGTTGAATTTTTCGTTTCAAGCATTGCTGGATTTTCAACTGTGACTTTGGCAAGACTACAGCACAATGTTTAATATGTTCTTGCTGATTTTTAGTGCCAAAGTTTTTACCTGATGAACCTGATATACCTTATTGCACTTAATACAAGCACAATAGTAATTCACGGGAATTTTGCTTTCATCATTTTCCTTTTTTTGAAAAACCATGTGAAATTTCTGCCAGATTTCTGATTTTAAATTTGTGGGTGCTTTTAATATATACCACCCTGTTTTTTCTGGAAAGAATAAATATTTAAATACTTAAGTATGTTCAATCAATCAATTAAATTTATCTAATGAATGGGATTTCTAAACTTCAACAGCGCCCAACTAAAATTTGAAAAATAAACCATTTCTAGGTAGAAAAAAGAAAGAAAATGAAACATGAATATCAGGTAAATAAGTAAAATGAGCAATTGAGAAAAAATTCTGATGTCTGTAAAGTGTAACTGTAAAGACTGAAGAGATTTGAAATTATGAAAAATAACAATTAAATCTTTAAAAAAGGAATTAAAACATAAAAAATGTAAAAATGTTAATGTGAAATTTATTAGATTTTTTACTTTCGCAAACTTAGCAAATTTAAATCACACAAACCTCTCAAATGACGCCGAATTTCTTCTGATTCTGCCATACTTGTAAATAAAACTAATTTTCTCGATCGGAAAGAAGTTAACTTTTGCTCAACTCAATAATCACAAAAAGAAAGTGGAAACGATAGACCAAAGATACAATGATATTACAGCGATATAAAATACACCGATTATTAACTAGTTAAAATGTTCGTTTAAGAATAAAAAAAATACAGAAATAAATTATTTATAATAAAATTTGAAAATTTCAACCCAACCCAACCCACACAAT